AATGTCCAATAACGGTCCAAATACCGGGAGTAAACTCGACACGCAGCTATCTTGACGAATATTTAGTTTTTTTTTATTGTGTATATATTGGAGGCAGATGCCGAATTTCGGCCAATGTCCAAAATAATTAGACATATGGCGATTTATCCATACTAAACTTGCCAGGGGGTTAATCTTTTTTTGGTATAACAACAAAAGATTAACACCCTCCGCATAGAAGTTGAAACCAATGCAATCAAAACTCTTCCGCGTAACTTTGTGGATATAGGTAGGTATATTTAATTATAATCGCCATATGTCTAATTTTCGGCCTCCCTGGTCTCCCTCTCTTTTAATTTTCGGCCTCCCTAATCTGCCTCCAACATATATAACATTAAAAAAATCAAGTGTAATTAGATTATTTGTAATCATCAGTTACAGTTAAATTAATTTCTCAGTTACTTTGTTGAATATATTAGTCTCTACGATGCTACATCTCTACCTAACCGACGACGCACAGTGATGCAGAAAACGTGAAAAGGTACAAAAAATAATTTCCAACTTACTACTACATTTTTTTAAATTATTTTTGTTAAATGTGGTTTTCTAAGTATGTATATGTTACTGTAAATGTCCGAAATGCGGTAAAACCTAGGATAAGCGCGGTAAAACCTAGGATAAGCACGCTAAACCTAGGATTTACCAATGGATTAACACCCGCCCCCAAATAACCACGCTAACCAAAGAATATACCTAGCTAGAAAAAGAATGGACTCTGCCATACTGAAAAATGGTCCTACAGAAGTGGCGCCATCTATTGAGTAGGGCTTGTTTTAAATGGATCGAAGCGCGGGCTTTTTAAATGAGAGGATTTATTGACTTTTACTCTAAAATAATTAAATTTGATTATTAAATCTTATTTTTTACACAAATTCAACAATATTAATAACAAGTATCGTTGTGATGTGTAAAAAATAAGATTTAACAGTATAATTTATACAATTATTATTAAATAAAATTAAAGCCAAACATGTGTAAATATTATTTATTATTTAAAGTTTTTATTTTATAAGTCAAATATTTAAACATCGTTTATTATAATAAAACAAGACCAACGTAATACGCCCAAAGTTTTGTAAATGGAGTAAATATAAATAGGTACTTAAATGATGGCAAAAATAAAATTACATTACTACTTACATTATATTTTTAGAGCCACAAACAAAAGGAATTGTCTAATAAAAACACATATAACTAATTATAGTCAGAGTTATAGTTTGAAAAACTTTTTGATAATCATTTTTGATAATATTATGATTGGTGCTATGACAACGACAATATTTTTTGAGAATTTGACAATAGTATGACAATGGCAGTTGGAAACTATGGAAACTACAAAAAAAATCTGATTGAGCGCCATCTGGCAATAACTAGTAGCAACTTCTTAACCAAAAAATTAAATTGCACTACCACCTAGCGCTCGAGGCTGGAACTATTTTACGATGTTTCCGTGGAAACGGTGTAACCCATGATACAAAGAATACAAGGTATGATATTGCGCAGGTTGGTCACTACGTCACAGGTGATAAACGGCACCATTGGTCGGCAAGCTCCGCGCGCCAATTTCAAATTGTCAAACAGATGACATAATAAATGTGAAAATAATTTTTCAAATGTCAAGTTCGATAATTTGACATAACTTTTGGGGTTATGTCCTAATTCTTCCCTATTTTATGTCTTTTTTTATTAGTGGCAATTGGACAATATGAATATTTTTTTTGTATGGCGTATGACGTCACAGGTGGTATGCGCAAACTTAACGAAATTGGAGCCGCTATCGATCATACCTTGTTTTCTTTGTACCATGGGTGTAACCGCTTTTGCTATTTCACTTTCCGGCCCCTGACGCTAACCAACCCGAAATGAGGTAAAACCGCATTTCGGATATTTACAATCACATTATATAAGTGATGTTTTGAATTCAGAAAATTGAATTATGTATACAGAGTGTACCTAAATTAGCTGTAAAATATAAAAAATGGCTTGTAAAAAATTTAATCATATTATATTGTCTTTAATAGCATATTAATTTAACACTCTATTCACTATAAAGTTTAAAAATTGGCGCCGGGAGACACGTATAGCCACCCATACTAAAATATGTTAATATCTCGAAAACTGCGCTTTGACTGATTTTGATGTTATTACAAATTTTGTTGCAAATATTATTCCTAATCTTAATTTGAAAACCGCGTTTCGCTAGCTACTGTTATTTTGGAGTTACGATTTTTTTAAATTTTTAACCCCCTTCTATACCCCCTTACCAACCCCCCACTCCCACCAAAAACTAATGGCCAGATTCTCGGGTGCCACAGTATTTTTGGGCCAAATTTGGTTAAAATCGGTTTAGCGGTTTTTGAGTTATCGTGTTACAGACGGACAGACGGAGAGACAGACAGACGGACAGACAGACAGATAGACGGACAGACAGACACCTCGAAAATATTTTGTATTTAGGTCATTTATGACCCAAAAAACTCATTTTGAGTGAAATTAAAAAAACTTTTTTTTTGCCGATCCTAATAGCCTACCATACCTATTGGTATGGTCGGCTAAAAAATTAAAAAAAGTTTGTATAAACATATAAATAAATGTACAGGGTTTTATTTTCAGCCCCTTACAATAGAATTAGCATTTCGTTTTTAATATAATTAATCCTTTTTTTCAGAACTAGTTACCAATAAGTATTACTTAAATTCAACTTAAAAAATATACATTTATACTAGCGTGTACCAGCGACTTCGTTCGCGTCGGATTAATCATTTGTAATGGTGATGATAAAGCAAAGCAAGAATTTCCATTAACATACAAACTGGATAAAATTTTCTCACATTTATGTCAGCATGAGAAAAAACAATATGGCGATATTATTATAGAACTTGGTAATATTTGAGAGGTAGTTTCATCTCGTTGGAATTTTACTTTCGAAAAATTCGTATGTCAAAAATAAGCTTTTTACGTCAAGCAGTTTAAGCAGAATCGTGGTTAAGAAATTACCCAACTTTTTGGAACACCCTGTATGATTTTTTAAAAAATGTCAAAATATGTAAAAAATAAATAAATAAATTATGCTTGTCCAAGCGTTTTCCCGAAAGACTAACCGTTTTTTAAATAACAAATATTGTAATATATGAGGGGCGTTTTCACCCACTTGGAATTTAAGATTCGAGAAACCCCTCCTTATCGAACCTCTACATCCCACAGTCAATCCGTTTGCCAAAAATCAGCTTTAAACGTCAAGCAGTTTAAGCAGAATCGTGATTTCTCAATGGTCAAATTTTATTAAACACCGTGTATAAATTTATAAAAAATCTTAAAATATGTAAAACAACAAAATAAAATATACGTGTTTAAGAGTTTTTCCGAAAAACTCACTGATTTTTAAATAAAAAATATTTTAATATTTGAGGGATAGTTTCACCCCCTTAGAATTCGAGTTTCGAAAAATCCCTTCTTATCGAACCTCTACACCCTAAAGTCAATCTATTTTCCAAAAATCAGCTTTTTACGTCAAGCGCTTTAAGCAGGATCGTGATTAATCAATGACCAGATTTTTCGAAACACCCTGTATACATTTTTAAAAAATCTTAAAATATGTAAAAAAACAAAATAAAATATACGTGTTAAAGCGTTTTTTCCCTCTTGGAAATGAATTTCGAAAAATCCCTTCTTATCGAACCTCTACACCTTAGAATCAACCTATATGCCAAAATTGAGCTTCTTACGTTGAGTGGTTTGAATAGGATCGTGATTAATCAGTATGTCAGTCACTTAAGGATTTTATATATTAGTATAGATTCATATCCATGAGAAACAAAATAAACTAAAAATAAAACTTAAAATACTTAATTAAGTATTATCCTTTTTTGTTAATATAAAAATGCTAACACCAAACAAAATATTCCAATCTCAAGCTTCAATAATCGCAATTGTTTGCGCGAATGTGTGAAGCAGATATTTTCATCCGCATTTGTACTTTCTAGTCATAAAAAATTGATATTTGTTACGTTACTGAAATATAGTATATGGAAATGATATGTAACGAAATTATTCTAATAGATAGATAAAAATAAATGAATTAAACATGCCACAATCTAAGATTATATATTTCTTGAAAAATTAATTTTTAGAAAATTATAAAAATATAATAATGTAAAAGACGGCCCACTTGTTCAACGAGGAGAAATAAAATACTACCTGATACTACTTCCTACATTATACGTTACACATATACAGGGTGTCCTAATATTTCGTGGATATAGAACTACTACGTATTTTTGGAATCAAAATAAGTTCATTGGACACAATATACCTCTATACAAAAGTGCTTCGTTTGTCCGCTAGAGAGCATCAAACTTTAAAAAAATAAACACATTTTTTCAGATATTTTAAGAACAGCTCATAACGAGACGCCCATAATCTCATTCGTTATTCCGCTTTGAATGAGATTATGGGTGTCTAGGTTTTGCTAAGTGCTTCATTCACAAAAATCAAGAAAATGTACGGGAAGGGTGAAAACTACCTCCACCCCTACATAAATTTTGATATGAATATTTTCCAACTCCACCGACGGCCTTTTTCTTTTCGTAAAATGGTCCCTATAGTATTTTTCAAAAACAACGTTCATAGTATAAGAAATCCGATTCTAAATTATTTTGGACCAAGTCCACATTCTAGCTGTTGGACCTTTTTGGACTTCAAAATAATTCTCAGCTAAAAGTTATAAATTGTATAAGAAAGAGAAAAAAGACTTAAGGAATTTATTGTATTTTTTTATAAAGTAAATTAGGTGCCTATCTATGAATTAAAATGTAGATTTGGTATTTTTGCCAGAAATAGTAGATAATCCGTACCAGTGTATCGATGATTCTTATCGATACTTTAAATGGTATCGAATCATCCTTAGTACCTATTTACATTATATATGATTATTATTATATATGCATCTTCAGTCCATGATTTTCATAAGTAAGATTAAGGTTAATGTTCTATATCAAGATGTATGATTATTCATTGTTGAGATATTTAAAAAAAAAGAGTTTTTTTTTGTTAAATAGTTTTGTCTCTGGATTATGTTTAATCTAAAAGCTATATGATATTAGATGTGAATTGCTTCTAAATAATTTACAATTTAAGATTCACATACCAGTATTAAACTTCTTATCACTTGGTTTATTTGATCTAAACAATGGAAACTGAGCCTGATGAGTATCATGATTGTTTTATGCAGGATGGGGTACTTTTAAAGCAAGCACCTTCGTCTCATATGACTGCATTAAATACCATTGGAACACTGTATATCTACGAGGTTACAAGAAGTGGAGAAAGTTGTAACAAAAAATTATTACTTGAGTGGAAACAAAATGATATTACTGTGGACTCCGATGTACAATATCAAGAATGGGCAGTGGTCAACACTGTTCAAAAGAGAATAAGAACACTTAGTGAAAATATGCCAGAGCATCACAATCGATCAAAGAGCCTTAAAATTAATTTTGACGAGATTAAAAGTTTCAAGGTGTGCAATAAAAATAGACAATTAACCTTTTATGATGGAACTTCTGAACGTATTTGTGGTTTCCTTTTCCAACATGGTAATTGTGAACATTTGGTTGGCATGTTAAAAACAATTTTAAAAGTGGGAGTTTCAAGACGAGATAAACAAATATATGTTGTTTATGACAGTAACAGCCCTGAATTCCAAGAGTTAAACAGATCATTTGCAGCATTAAATTTAAAAAATGAGGACAATTCATTTTGGCACATGTTTAAACATTTCAAAGAGAACCCATATGAAGGCAGTCTTGGAGCCTTTGCAAAAGTCACAAATTTCGTGTATCGTAGTGTGGAGGGTTCAGATCCAGACATACTTAGCAGGGATGAGCTATATTCATCAATTACTGAATTGGATGATGGAGTTCCACATTCCGGGGGTGAATATGAAGTTATTAACGCTTTACCCCAGTTACCTCGTAGAAAAGAATTTCCAAGATGTAATCCATTAACAGAAGAACAATGGAGAAGTCAGTTTAACTCACTTGGCCAACTTGAGGATGTTGACTCAATAAAAAATTTAATATTTCGGGGAGGTGTGAGTCCAACCATACGCAAAGAAGTATGGAAGTTTTTACTAGATTATTTTCCTTGGGACAGCACTGATCTAGACAGACAACAGCTAATAAATAAAAAAAATGAAGAATATTATGTCATGAAACTCCAATGGAAATCAATTAGTCAAAAACAAGAAGATAATTTTTCAGATTATGCACAGAGAAAATGTCAGGTTATCAAAGATGTAAATAGAACAGACAGAACTTTAGAGTTTTATGCGGGTGACAACAATATCAATATTCAAACTTTGGGTGATATACTGATGACCTATGTAATGTACAACTTTGATCTAGGATATGTCCAAGGCATGAGTGATTTACTTTCTCCTATTTTATGGCTAATGCAAGACGAGAATGATTCTTTTTGGTGCTTTGTAGGATTTATGGAAAAAGTAATGTCAAATTTTGACATAGACCAGGCAGGCATGAAAGAACAGCTTACACAACTCCGAGTATTATTGTCATTTATTGATCCAGTGTTAGCAAACTACTTGGAAAAACATGATTGCGGAAACATGTTCTTTTGTTTTCGTTGGCTCTTAGTTTGGTTTAAAAGGGAATTAAATCAAGATGATATTTTAAGATTTTGGGAGGTGCTTTGGACTGGTTATCCATGCCATAACTTCCATTTACTGGTGTCTGTAGCAATTTTAGAACACGAAAGTGAGGCACTGATGGAAAACGATAATGGTTTTACTGAGATTCTTAAATATATTAATGAACTAAGTGGCAAACTGAATATGGAACTCATGCTGAACAAAGCTGAAGGCATATATAATCAAATAAAGGAAGCTGATCATCTTACAGATTCTGTTAGAAGTATTCTTGGTTTGCCTCTTATAGGTACTAAAAATAGAGGTAGTGAAGAACAGTCCAGTCAGCAAGAAAGTCCGTTTGAGTCACCAGATCTAAGTACCCCAAGAACTGAGCCGTGTTGCTCAGTTGATAATGTTAGAATAAGCCCAGATGAAATAGCTTTTGAAAAATCAATTAGTTCTAGCTTTTTATAATATTGTTCATTTTTATAAATCACACTACATTATTGTATATTACTATTAATATTACTTATTACTACATATTACTACATTATTTCTTACATATTACTACATTATTTCTTTATTGTATATTATTATTGAAAATTTTTATGAAATATTAATAAATTTGTAAGTTTATTTTTTGTTTTGTGTGATCGTAAAAACGTCGGCGTTAAATTACCTTAGAAGTGACCTTATATTCAGAATAAAGAGAAGTGATAATGGGTGACATTCTATACTATGTCCCCAGATTGTCTATACAAGAGGAAAAAAAATGTATTGTTGAAATTTTGAAAAAATTCCATTCTTTATAAAAATTATTGCTTGTTCTAAAATGGTTAATTCCGTTTATACTTTTCCACATTTACATACCATTTTAGAGAAAATTAAAAAAAAAACATGAAAATTTAGTTGAATTTTTTCTACAAAGGATTATTGTCTAAATTTTTCGAAATTCAAAAGTAGACATTTTGACCACAGTAATTTTTTGGGCGTCCTCTGTCGAAATTGTCCCGTTTTCTCGCTGAACAGACTTGATATTATGTAAATGTATGTATACAGCGTGGCTCAAAGCCTTAAATACTGTACTACCAGATCAGCTTTTTACTTAATATTTTTGAAAAGAAAAGATTAGAATTTTTGAAAAGAATAGATTATGACACAGATTTTTTTGGTCTGCAAAAAGTCTGAGTGGAAATATACATGTTACGGTTAAGAGCTCGAACACACTGACGACCTGAGCTCTGGTCGCACGGCCGCTGCTCCCTCTAAAACCATTGAATCAAATGATACAGCGCACGCTAACGTCCTGGCCGTTGGCTGGTCGTTGCGACCAGTAGACTGCACTAAAATATTATTTTTTTCTGCCGCTTGTTGCCGGTTTTCTTCCAAATTAATATTTTTTTCAGATGAAATCCCCCAAATTCAACGCAAAATATTTTATTTTCTATGAGATATATATAGTGTTTTAGAGTAGTTTTTGCACACGTGCAGAAAATCCAAAGAAATAGTATACAGACTGGATCAAAGGGAAATTTAAATCTAGTCCCTTTTTTTATGAAGGGTCGATTCTAGTAAAAATTCAAAACATTTTTTATACCGGGCGCGTCTCAAAAGTGGCTCACCCCCTATAACTTTTTTATTTTTTCAGATAAAAAAACGAGATTTGGTATTTTAGTACATGACACAAATTAGAATTGATTGACGTATTCAATTGTTTTTGGTCACTTCTTGTTTTACCGGAAATGACTACAACTTTTGATTTTTAAATAGCACCCTCGGTATTTTTTAACTTTATTCGATACAATGACTAAAGAATCCAAGGACAAATAACACCCGAGAGCAAATTGTGACGCTGTCACCAAACAGTGCCGTCAGGGCCATGTAAGTGAAATATTAAAAATGGTTCCAGCAAAAGTTTCCCAATTATGACGGATGATGGCGCTGATAGTCAAAATTTTTGGACAGGGATTTTGCTTACCGACAATACGACGTGAGCTATGACCGGACCAGGACCAATCAGAATGATCAGTTTTTCTTGGACATTTGCCGCGGAAGTGTGTGTTAATTTCTGTTGTGATAAGTGTGGTTGTGTTTGCTGTTTGATTTTTCGGTTTTGATATTATGTTAAAATTAATTTTGAAGTATTGTATCACCTGTTTTTATGTAATAGTACTTTTTTTAGTTCTAGGATCTGATATGTTATGATTTGTTAATGTTTGTTTAACAATGTTATACCAAAGAGGTTATACTTAATATACTTATCAATTTGCATAGCCTAACTTTTTTATCAATAAACTTTTTCTTAAGATTTTCAGATTATTTAATTCCTTTTGTTTCCGTTTGTAATTTTATTTTTAAGACATATTATGTGATTGTTTCACATAATGTTTTAAAAATAAAATTGCAAATAGCGAATCAAAATAATTAAAATAAAAAAGTGTATTTTATAATTCCCCCCGGCCCCGCACCCCTTTGGCTAACCTATAATGTCAGCTATGTCGAGAGATGGCGTTACGAAAATGGAACCGATTTATTACAAGGAACTTGGGCTTCTTTTTCGTTAGTATATTCTGTGAGTGCCGTGGCACATATTTTTCTTAACCTAGCTGTTTGAAGCAGGTTTGAAGCAATATTTATATTTTTTGATAATTGTTTTGACTACGCCTATGGTGTATCATCCTAATTAATTACGAAAAAAACGTATTAAAATGTTAACAAAAGGTACAAAACTAGTATCGACGTATAGCACATATCAAGTACATATAGATGTTAATTGAAATTGAAGAATAATTATCGAATTCAATAAGAAAACGCTAAAAAGTTGGAGTGGACTGTTTATTTACCTATGAAACGTAACTCCTGGCTCTTTCTTATCGCTGCTGCTTTTACACTTGAAAGCTGAATAACTAATCACCATTGTAATAAAGTTTATACAAAGTTTACTACACATAAACTATTAAAAATCGCTATATTTGTCGCTGGTGACCAAATGATGACTCATTGTTTGCCTAAACAAAAAAAAAGGTCACAAATTCTGCTGCAGCCCGTTAGGGGCATTACATGTCCTTATATTCTTTAGTCATTGATTCGATAGAAAATGACGTTCTGAATAGAATGACATATGTCAACTTTTGACATTCTCGCTTAATAAAAAATTGTATTTTAAAATTCAATCTAGAGTGCAATGGCTGTGTTAAAAACACGAATTCTTAATTAAAGAGCCTTGGAAAAATAGATTTGGTCGTCTAATGTTTTTAGTGTCCTGTCCTGGCCAGTTAGAAAATGCCCAAATCGTATTTTTTATCATATCTCAATTTTTTCAAATGGAACGAGGGTGGCTCATTAGCATATTTGGAAAAGGCATTTTTTATGAATATTTTGATACCAGACACTTGGTATTTCGAGTCAAATTTTCGTTACGAACCGCAAGTTATAATTTCAAATAAACTATATGCAAAAATGTCAAAAGTTATTAATGACATATTGATATGTCATTCTATTCAGAATGTCATGTTCTATCGAATAAAGTAAAAAAATACCGAGGGTGCCATTTGAAAATCAAAAATTTTAGTCATTTCCGGTGAAACAGGAAGTGACCGAAAACAATTGAATACGTCAATCCTAATTTATGTCATAATATACTAACATACCAAATTTCGTTTTTTTAACTGCAAAAATAAAAAAGTTCTAGGGGTGAGCCACTTTTGAGACGTACCCGGTATAACATACTCTATTTATGGTTGGTATGATACTTGTTATTATACCTTCAAGTTTCGATGTTAAAAAATGAAAAAAATCATATTTAAAGTTTTTCTACAACCACTTGTTATTTTTTGGATTAAATTAGTTTAGTTGTACTCATGTACAAGGGGGACAATTGTATTTTATATATTATATTTAATTAAAATGTTTTTCAAACAGGGCCCATTAGACTATATTTTTACTAGGACTAATTCAATACCCTGTATGAACACAAATACCAAGAAATAGAGTTAAAAAATTAAATATTTATGTTTTTATGTATATAAATAAGTCATAAATAAAGCATCATTTGTTTTCAATTCTTAGGAAGAATACTATTTTTGTCTATTGATATAATGTGTTTATTTATTATTTTTATATCTGATGCAACACTCTGTGACGGCCAGATGGGCCAAATTGCTTCAAAAATATTCTATTCAGTTTTGTCTCCGCATATCGTAGTTCTTTTGTGATTTTCGCTCGGTATGGCTTTGAAGAAATACATTACTTTATTTAATATAAGAACATTTAATAAGCTCATGAATAGGAACTTCGCTTTTTAGTTAACTCGGATATTTTAACATTTCTGAAAACAAAATTTTCTAAAGCCCGCGGTTACATTGGATGCGGAGCCGTGCCTTTTTTTCAGTGATATAGACATAAAGTTTTTTTATACGTGCGAGCTCTGACGGAATTTACTCGTACGACTATTTTATTATAGTGGTTACATTAGATGCGCGTTCATGGTGTCCTGTATGTCAAGTTTGTCAAATCAAGCGCCACTACTATGATGCTTTGTGAGGACATAATGTTAAAATAACTACTCATGAAAAGAAGAAAATGTTGGGTAAATGATTTATATACAAGAAGAGGAGAAGAAAATAAATATGTAAAACATTTAGTGAATTAAGACAGCAACCGGTCAAATTTTTTGAATATTTTAGATTGTCTCCCTCAACATTAGTATATCCCAAATAAAATTAAACCTGGTATTCAACAATACTCAAATTTTTCGGGAATGGATAGGGATCAGAGAAAAAAAATCGAACGCTCGGACGTGCACGTATTAAAAAAACAAACCAGTTTGTTTTCATCCGACCAACGGAAATGATGTACGTGCACGGACGCGCAAACTCTGATGCAATGTAACTGCCTGCATAGACAGCATTGGTTTGTTTTTTCCTGCGTGCACGTCCGTGCACGTAAGACCAAAAAGACGCACAGACACGCATCCAATGTAACCACGGGCTAATTGGTAAAACGTAAAAAATCGTTAAATCTGACAGCCCTGCCGAAAGGTCGTTCATCTGGCCGCAGCTATGTATGCAATACATCCGGCCAGCCGACTGCTAGGTCGTTGCGACCTGGGTCGTCAGTGAGTTCGAGCTCTAAGGTCCGATGTCCGGTTAATGTCGACATTACCCGTTTAATCTCGAGAATAACACACAACAAAACAACCAAAAACATAACCAAACCAAAACATTAATCTGTTAATGTCGACATTAACCAGACATCGGACTTGAACCGTAACATATACATACAGAATTCCATTTATAAATCTTCTACGACCCATGCAACGAAGACAAGATGTGGAGTGCGGTAAGCCGGAAACAGCGGTTTTGAGTTGCTGTATCTATTTTGCGTATTTAGAATAGAACTTTTCAAGAAAAAGAACTCTTCAAAGGAAAAAGTGAAATTTGCAAGAAAAAAAATGTATATTGAAAAAGACCTATATTTTTCAATGTAAAAGTTCTCTTTAAAATACGCAAAATAGATACAGCAACTTAAAATCACCGTTTTCGACTTACTATAGTATTCATTGCATGAGTCATATTGTAGTGTAAAAATATATTGTAAATATCAATAACACTGCATTGCGAAATGTGCACTGCTGGATATACCTTGAGGTATATAAAGAATATACCTCAAAATCTCAAATAGTGTTAGAGGAAATTTCATATACAAAACTTTCTTGAAACATGGGTCACCCTGTATATATTACCCTTGTATAAAGGGTTTTACATATTCTTATATAAAATAAATCTAAGCAAATCTGTTATAATTAGGGAGAATAAGATGCAGTTTTAGTACTTTTTGAGGTAGGGTTAGTTGGGGTAACGGTAAACGATTTTAACAAAAATAATTTTAATAAGGTATATAACCCTTGGTATAACTTTGAAACTTGAAACTTTTTACGTTTGCACTGAAAATTCTAAAAGGGTATATTTTAAGACACTTTACTTAATAGGTGCTTTTAGGGACAGCTAGAAATTTGCAATAGGTTCCAAAAAAAAACTTGTTTACAAATCAAATATTGTCCTATTTTGGGGTAAATGTAAACATAGTTTTTAAATGGGGTAATAATGACCCAAGAACTATTATACAAGTTTGTTTTTAGTTGGGTTATAAGTTTATCACATAGATAAATGAAACAAGTTTAGATTGGAAAGTGCCCATAAGGACAATGTAAATACTTGTATGTGCAATGTATTCTTCCAACGGTCGCGACCCAAAGCTTTTGAAAATTTCGGAGCGGGTCGGCTTTTTCCAGAATTATATCGCCAAATATTATTTATTCAAATTTATTATTTTCTTTTAATTTTATAAATAAAATACAGTGTGTTGCATACAAGAAACGTTATTTTATATAAGGACATGTATCAAATATCTATGAAACATTGGAACGACGATGGTTTTTGCAGTTCACAGCACAACTTCTTAAGTTTTTAATGCCACTTTTTCACAATTATCACGGGTTTGAGTAAATAAGACTTAAATTAAACTCACAAGATAGCAATAATTACTTTGAAAATAGACACTATAAACACTTTTCGGAATTTTTTCAATGAGAGCGATTTAGATTTTGAAAGATTTTATAATTTTTGAAGATTCTGACTTTGACAAGAGATATGGACAAGAGAAAATTATCTCTGTTTTTGTTTGCGGTTGTTCTTAGCAACAGCTATAGCAGCGCCAGATCGCGTACAACGGTCGCGAACTAAAACAATTTCGCGACCCAAAATTTTGACCAGTATTCCAATCTATATGGTGTATCAATGTATTTAATTGTTTACAATTTTCCCCATGGAGACAAAATAAAACATTTTGTTATAAAGACAAATTATTTATTACTGTTTCATCAAAAGTGTACAAAAAATATTAAGGTTTTTCAAAAACATCTTTCTTTTCCGAAAACGAATATATGTATTATCTTCCTACATATCTAACCAATGTATTTTTAACGTTTTTTTTTTGGTCTTTTTCATATCTCTCTTGGAGCTTATGAGTGTTAACACATGTTTACTATTACCCCAAAGTCAAGTTTACAATTGCCCCGCAATCCTATTTTACTGGGGCATTTGTAAACACCTCTATACTTCATTTCCCGTAATAAAGTTAATCTCAAATTGTAACATGCATTTTACTAATACAACACTAAATGAAACCACTATGTATATAAATTATCTTAGCTTATTCACAAATTGAAATTTTTAAACAAAAGTTTTAAAGCAGCTCTCCAAAAAAAATGTTTTTGCACCATAAACAAATAGTATTAGAAACTCATTTAATCTTTAATCGAGTCAATACACATCAGAGATGTGGGCGCCACTGTAGCCAGTCGATCTATTTCCTACCCGCCAAATTCAAAAGTTATTGGACCTGTTTACAATTGCCCCTGTTTACCATTACCCCAAATAGCCCTATGTACTTTTATAATTTAATTTTTTAACAATATTCTAAAAATTCCTTAATTAAAAAACCTACTAGAAATTACTATATTTTATAAAAAAGACTTAATAGTAATTAAATGCACCAATGTACCTTAGAATCTGAATTAAAAGGGAGTTAGGATTATGCTCTTGAATTTCAGGAAAGGTCTGGAAGCTTACCATCTAGTAAAAGTCTTACCTTTAGGTTTATATTTCCTCTTACCAATAAGCCCTATAGTTACATCATCTTTTGTTCTTTGCCTCCATGTGAAAAATACACCACCCAATAGACCATGTACAAATACAACATCAATATCTTGACTTTGTTTTGTTCTGTTTACAGGATGTAGCACATATAAATTACTAGAATATTGAGCCGAAGAGTCTTCATCCAAGTTGGCTAATGCACGTGCTGCTGGTATAGAAACATGTATGTCTTCGTGACTGCACCATTCTGATAAAACACCAATCCATCCTACCAAAACAAAACTAGTTTATTACAGGGTTGCCAAATGAAATTTTGAAAAAATTCTCTAACTTATAATAATCTAAAGTAGCTAATGCAATATTGTCAATAATATCAATAGTTAGAACATTAATTCGCGTTAGTTAGAATTTGTTTACATTATCTCAAATAATTAAAGGAACCATTTAAAATAGTATTATTACTAAATTTTGAGTAAAAGTGTTTTCTAAAATTTATTTCTTCAGATTTTCCTGCAAGTCATTTTTCTTCCATTCTCAACTCTGATTTTACCTAGATATAGGGAACAGTTCCTAGACTTTACAACTGAGGTTTATTACTGCTTATTACCACTTTATACTTAGTGACAGCTACATTTCTCACCTGATATATGGAATAACTCTAATAATTGTTTATTTAAACTCGTATATGATAATATTTGGCACAATTTCATAGTAACAGAAAGATCATCTGGATATCTCTTATATATTTCCATTAATAATGGTAGTCCATTCATATTAGCAATATCTGCAGAATATTTCTCTATACTACAGTGATGTAGCAAAGATTCCAAACACATGGGCAGTACTTCCTTTTCAGACTGTATAAACTTGCTTAACTCTAATGCTGATGAATCATGATCAACAATGTGAGCACAGTCCTAGAAATTTCATATGAACATATATGAAACACTTAAATTCTAATTACTAACATGTTCAAAAACAAAAACTTTGGACAAAAAGTATCCTATACAGGGGTGTTCTGATTTTTCATACAATTCCATTAAAAACTCTCTCATCAAATTTATTAGCTGATCTTTATTATAATTATGATATCTGTAAGGCGGTTCGGGAAAAAGTCTTTTGTCAACATTCCTTGTTCTAGCTAATGTAACTGCACTTTGAGGATCAATCATATTCGCTACTAGAGCATAGTGCCAATTATCTAAATTTTTCAACTTTGCCAATTTATTTAGAGCTTTAGTTCTACAACAACATATATTTAGGTTGAACTTCTAAAAGGTCTATAAATAGAACAACCTATAGTATTTATTACAATCTTTTGCAACTGATAAAAGTCTTCTTACGTAGGCAAATTTTAAAGAATCAACAGTCCATTGAAAGAAACCACTTTTTCTATCCAAAATTGATTCAATTTCTAAAGTTTCTTCCTCAAAAGTATCTTCCTTTAAAACACAATGATCCATAGTCCTGATGACTGACGTATCAAAGGCATTCTCTAATATATGTCTGGTGTGTTTTACTTGATAATAAAACCATCCTACACTATATTTAGAATTAATTTAGGCATCCTTATTTATTTATGCAGTAAGTACATACCTTGAGCCCACAAATGCTAACGTAGAATATTTAATAAGAATTTTATGATCCTTCCAGATATTTCTTAGCAGCATTTATATTTGATAGCTTTTAAAGACAGGTGAAAATAACAGACAAGATATTTTTTAAAATCATAATATTTATAAAAACTCTTAATTCAAAGTTCTTAACCTTCAATAACAAAAAACAAAAACAAAATTATAAATACGTGTATTAGGGTGCAACCACACTATCCTAAAAACGGCGTATCGGCGTAACGGCGTAATGACCTTGAATAGATTTCCAGTAATTCTATTGGCTGAAACATTCATCTGTCAGAAATTTTATCTGTCAAATTCATCTGTCAAAAATTTCAGCCAATAGAATTACTGGAAATCGATTCAAGGTCGTTACGCCGTTACGCCGATACGCCGTTTTTAGGATAGTGTGGCTGCACCCTTACGGTTACCCTGCGGTAACCAAAGATGATGTATTTTAAATTTATATGATGATAATAAAAGTACTTATCATATATAAAAGAGATTGTAAATGGGCTTCCAGAGTAGCTCTGGCAGCTCTATTAACTGTATATTATGTATATTTCATTTAAACTATATCATTTTTAAAATACAAACCAAAAATCTGAGGAATAATTATGTTTTCCATGTATTCTACAACATATTTATTAATCCGTTATATCTAACTAGCGTGACGTCATAAATCTCGCCCGGAGGCTGATCTTTTAATAGAAGGCACTGCGTGAACACGTGAACACGAAACAAATTTGTTGAGTTCAAAAATTAATAAACGTCAAAAGAAATTAATTTTCTTTGATTTTTTAGAGCCAAGTTTTGTAGTCTCCCCTTGCTGGTTTTAACTGGGGATATTTCTAGATTAATTGGTGTGTTTACTTGTTTTACCCAGTTTTAAGGATTTTCTCGATATAACCCGTAAAATTCCAGTTAAAACCAGTTAAGGTTCTGTCAACCAGTTTGCAGTGGATTTCTGTGCAGTTCATCGGCATTTCTAACCACGCCATTTTGCACAAATAACACGTTTTTTGGATTTTCTCTAAAAAGTTATTAAAAATGTCTGGAGAAGAAACATCTGCTGATCGAAATGTTGAAATATGGAAGATTAAGAAGCTCATTAAAAGTTTGGAATTAGCAAGGGGGTAAGTTAACTTTTATGTGATGTGGCATTTTCAAACATATTGTTTTTCTTTAAAGTTTCTTCTATTTTATATTAAACTAATATTGTTTATTAAGCATATAATTAAGATTTAGGTCAAGATTTATTCTGGCATTGTAATCCTGTTTCTATGTGATCTATTTTTAACACTAATTATATGAAATTATTTTTTTTCTTTTAACTGATGGTTTATTTTTTTCAGAAATGGAACAAGTATGATTTCTCTAATTATACCACCAAAAGATCAAATATCTAGAGTTAGTAAAATGTTGGCGGACGAATTTGGTACAGCTTCAAATATTAAGTCTCGAGTAAACAGATTGTCAGTCTTGGGTGCTATTACATCTGTTCAACATCGTCTGAAACTATATACAAAAGGTTAATTTTTCAGTATATTTTACATCTGTTTACTATAATTTCTAAACTTCTTTTTAGTTCCCCCAAATGGTTTAGTAATTTATTGTGGTACCATAGTCACCGATGAAGGAAAGGAAAAAAAAGTAAACATTGATTTTGAACCTTTTAAACCGATTAATACGTCACTTTATTTGTGCGACAATAAATTTCATACTGAAGCTCTTACAGCCTTATTAGCTGATGATAATAAGTTTGGTTTTATCGTAATGGATGGTAATGGAGCCCTTTTTGGTACACTTCAAGGTAAGATAATTTAGAAAAATGCTACTATTAAATATTTATAGTTTTTAATAATCAAAATTTAAATCTAATGAATTATCGTTAAAGAATGATTTGTTTTTAAATTTGTTATATACATATTGATTTTTATAAAAATAAAACTGCTTTACACAGAACTTTACACAAAACTGCTTTGCACGCTTTAGACATCCTAAAATTATCCTGTAAATATATTTCAATGTTATTCTTTAGAGATGATTAATCTTCAAGGTTTTAATGGAATATTCCACTGCAAATTTGCCTAAATTTCACAATTTTAGTATGGAATTATTTTTAAAAAATAAGTATGCTTATTATAAATTATTTTTTAGACAGTATTTTGGCAGTTGTTCTTTATTACTAAAATAGAAGTACATATGTTTAGTTTTAAGTAACAAATTTTAACTTCATAATTTATAGTTATTGTACTATTTGATACGCGCGCAAAAAATATATGTTTAGAATTAGAGAAAATTAGAATTATACCTATGGAGCAATTTTTTGAAAATAGAAAAAACAGGGTTTATCTTTTTTTACTATAGTCTGTTTCTAAATGGTATGGAGTAATAAAACCATAATAAAACCTCATTATACTTGCAAAAGGACAACAGGGCGACCCACCAATCATTTATACAAATTAAATATTTGGCATTGAAATTTATCCCTTTTATCAAATTTAGGTAGAACCACTCATCAAATTTAGGTAGAACCACTGGGTTTTCAGTTAATTTGGGTAATTTGCCCATTGTTAGACTTTCAAAAGTGAGGGTCATAAATACAACAGGGTAATAAATAAGGCGTGCCTATTGGTTGTAAAAGAAATTAAAATAGAATTGATTTTAGGGATTAAAATGTATTATATTAAATTTAATATTTCTTTCTAACGGACTTTCTTTGGGAGGGTCTACTTGACCACAGCAGGTTAAGTAGACCTGCTACATTTCTTTCCTGCACTAATTTAAATACTGTGGTTTTCTTTTGTGTATGTATCTGATATTTAGCACCAATAAACTATTTGAATCTGAATTCCAATTTCAGTCATTCAGCAACATCTTCCAACAGTTTCTTGTTTGGTAAAACGAGGATTATCATGTCTGAGGCAATTGTTTAAGTTTAAAACGATGACTTTGTCATTCACTTGATAAGGAAGAATTATTACAGCTTCGTTTCATTGGAATTAATGTACTGTCCACTGTCCACACTATAGATTAACAGCACATGCTAAAATTTTTAATAGCCACTATGGTATTTATTTTCATCAGTTCATTTCCTGCTTAAAATATTGCTTTAAAAATAATCTCCATAAAGCTTGTATGCTTTTACGGGGCTTAGTAGATGCGAAATTATTTTTTACATATCCTTTACACATTAGAAGAAAAATATTAACAGCAAAATTGGAAAATAAACATCTCGGTTTCTACATAAAAACCCCGTATGAGTTTTATTTAGCTTCATCATAAACTGAAAAACTACTAAAAATTAGTATAAGAATATAAAAAAAAATAATTATAAACAGAAACTTTTAATTTAGTATAATATAATGCTACAAAATAGCGTACCAAACATTTCTATTTAAATAAAGGAAAAAATTAAAAAGTAAGATCAGTTTTTGACATTAAAATATTTTATTATACCAAATATTGTACTGTAATTACTTTATATAAACAAGAATGTTTCTTTATTGATTAATTTTTTTCTTGAATTTATTTTGATTATTTTTATTTCTTATTGTGAGTGGTAGAGTTTCGGCCCCACAGACAGATCTGAGTTCACACTAAACGCAGTTTTACTCGCCAACAGACTATAGTAGGTGTTTGGTTTTTAATTGATAATTAGTCAAAGTTATTTAATTTCGCAATAGATTTATAAATTTTAAAAATAGCAATTATTTAATTAAACCGTTAAGAAAGCATATATTTTCATTTATTTCTTGAAAATATCGGTTTTTCGTCACTGGAAGAGAAATCTCCAGTATAAAAAAGTTATTTTTTGTATACACATTGTCTAACCATTGTCAACGTATTTTGCAAAAAAGATTGGAGTGAAAATTTAAAAAACAATCCGATATGATTTACTTTTGAGGGGGTCACCCTGTATAAAGCGGCCGATACATTATCAAACAAATTGCGCAACGAAGCGATGCGCAACGTTACGTTGCACAACTGCCTCACCCATGCACTTAGTAAAATTTTGATCAAACTTTTTATTAAAAGTTGTGCATTGTTTGAGAAACAATCATGTCCTCAATTGCCATTGCGTCAGTTATTATCGTATATACCCTAAATGATGTCGATGATAAAGGTTTTTACGTTTTATTTTTATTTTAATAATTAATATTTTAGTAATTAATTTATATATAAATAGTGGTCACTACAAAATCAAAATAAGTAGAAATAACTTTGAAAGTGGTATAATGTGCTTATCAATCAAACTTACTTCTCTGACTGCAGTCAAGGGTAATAAAGGACCTTTAATTACTGTCCTCAATTCACGCAGTTGTACAGCTCTGAACTGTTCAAGAACGCGATACTCTCATAAACTGATACAAAGAACGCGATACTCTCTTTTTTTTTCCATTTGATTGATTACAGTTGAGGGTTGGAACCTTTGGTGTTACACAGCAAAATAAAAACACTAAATCACCACAATACACTTTTACTTTTACACTGGACGCGCGTTTCGCTAACCATGTTAGCATCATCAGCAGATGATTATAAACTAAAGTACAATCTACAAGTTGAGCGTTTATATATTCGCTCAGTGGGCACCGAGTGGGCGTGGCAAAATCTAGCCAACCGAGTCAGAGCCCACTGAGCGTAACAGTTAGATTTCCGCCACTAGAGTAGTAGGAACAAAGAACTTGAAGGAATTGGAACAGAGTAATCATCTGCTGATGATGCTAACATGGTTAGCGAAACGCGCGTCCAGTGTAAAAGTAAAAGTGTTTTGGTGTATTGTGGTGATTTAGTGTTTTTATTTTGCATTCTATTGAGTCATAAAGTTCAGAACTGTTCCGCGCCATATGGGGGCACCAGGCTATCGCGCACAGCTCCTTTCAGAACCGTTCTCGAGTAGCCCAGGGCATAAAGCTCTGGAACTTGAAATTTGCGAATGGAGGACAGTAATTTTCACGTTCTCGTTCAAAATAGTTTATCAGGAAAGCCACAAGTTCTTCCATTGATTAAATGTTTCGGAAAATTTTCGCACCCAATTTCAAGAAATGCAATACAAAAACTCAAAAATTTAGTTCTTAAAAGAACTCTTTGTGCTTAAAAGTGCAATTTTTAAAATAGACTTTGCAAAACTAAACGTGCAAAAAAAATAAAATAGACGTGCAAAAAACGAGAATTATCCCCAAAAAATCAACAACACGATATTATACTAAGTAACGACTGACATTATGATAATTGTTAAATAATAAATAACGTTGCTGGTCGCGGCACAATGTAACGAACATGACGATGATAAAAAGCGCTGTAAACTAATTTTTGCAGCTTTAATCTAAATAAAATATACCGGGTGCGTCTCAAAAATGGCTCACCCCTATAACTTTTTTATTTTTTTAAACAAAATAATGAGATTTGGTTGTGAGTATATGACATAAATTGGGATTGATTGGCGTATTCGATTGTTTTCGGCCACTTCCGGTTTTACCGTAAATAACTACAACTTTTGATTTTTAAATGGTACCCTCGGTATTTTTTTACTTTATTCGATAGAAGAAGACACTCCGAATCGAATGACTTTGATGACTATGGCAACTTTTCACATAGTTACTCAAAAACAAATTGTATTTTAAATTTCAATCTAGAGTGCCATGGTTGTGTTAAAAACACGAATTTTTAATCAAGGAGCCTTGGAAAAATAGATTTGATCGTCTAACGTTTTTAGTGTCTTGTCCTGGCCGGTTAAAAGATGCCCAAATCGTATTTTTAATCATATCTCAATTTTTTCAAATGGAACGAGGGTGGCTCATTAGCATATTTGGAAAAAGCATTTTTTTACGAATAATTTGATACTACACACTTGGTATTTCGAGTCAAATTGTCGTTATGAACCGCATATTACAATTTCAAATAAACCATATGCGAAAATGTCAAAAGTTGACATATGATATGTCATTCGATTCGGAGTGTCATTTTCTATCTAATATAGTAAAAAAATACTGAGGGTGGCATTTAAAAAACAAAAGTAATTTCCGGTGAAACCGGAAGTAAACGAAAACAATTGAATATGTCAATCAATCCTAATTTATGTCATGTACCAACATACCAAATCTCGTTGTTTTATCTGAAAAAATAAAAAAGTTATAGGGATGAGCCACTTTTGAGACGCACCCGGTATGTCAATCATTTGCTCTATAAAGGAAAATGAAGAGCTGCTCGGTATCTAATTATACAACAAATTTATTTAAACTTTTTGCCAAAATTTCATTTAGTCAGGTTTATAGGCTTTAGTGTCAATTTCGATGATTGATGACGTGCATCGGAGAATGTTTTGCGATTACCGTAGACTACAAATAATTACGGTAATATTCTGATCGCTTTTTATCGATTTCTTGCGACAATTTATTCAAAAACTGTCTCGTTCCGCCTTTTTATATACCAACAGATGTTATTTCTGTTTTATTCTAGAAGTTATTTTTTTTTTCTATACGAGAATTTTCGAGCGCCATCTCTCTGTATGGTTGTTTGATACAGTATCTAGAGATGTTGCCAGCCATTTCGTTTTGACTTACCTAATAATATTGTTACAGGAAATACAAGGGAAGTGCTCCACAAGTTTACTGTAGATCTTCCAAAGAAACACGGTAGAGGTGGACAATCAGCTTTGCGTTTCGCGCGATTGAGAATGGAAAAAAGACACAATTATGTGCGGAAAGTAGCCGAGGTGGCTACCCAACTATTTATTACAAACGATAAACCTAACATTGCAGGTTTAATTCTTGCTGGTAGTGCAGACTTTAAGACTGAACTTAGTCAATCGGATATGTTTGATCCTGTAAGTCTTGTTTGTCTTGTGGCTTTAAATTATGTAATTTTAATGTACCTTTTTTTATTAATTTAAGAGATTGCAAGCTAAAGTTATTAAGCTAGTAGATGTTTCATATGGAGGCGAAAATGGTTTCAATCAAGCTATAGAATTAGCAGCTGAATCTTTACAAAATGTTAAATTTATTCAAGAGAAGAAACTTATTGGAAGGTATTGAATATTTCTAGTTTTATATTATTTTTCTATAAGTAATTTACGATATATGTAGTTTTAATTTTATTAAGCTGTGTATTGGGAAATATATTGTTATTTTTGTTCCACAGATACTTTGATGAAATTAGTCAAGATACTGGTAAATATTGTTTTGGTGTTGAGGACACATTAAAAGGTCTAGAGTTAGGAGCTGTGGAAACGCTGATATGTTGGGAAAATCTTGATATTCAGAGATATGTTCTTAAAAATCATACCACAGGCACGGAAACAGTTTTACATTTAACACCTGAACAAGAAAAGGATAAAAGTCATTTTACAGATAAAGAGGTAAAGATTTATATTTAATTAAATTACACTGACAGATAATTTAATACATTGACAAAATTGACTGTATATTGGAAACTATTAAAACTATGTGTATAAGATACTGTGAGTTCTACAGTATCTTATACACATAATTTTAAAGGTTTTAAAACCTACCAAAAAATTAAGTTGTATTCAGTTAAAAAAGTCAGATATAATCATACTCATATATATATATATATATATATATATATATATATATATATATATATATATATATATATATATATATATATATATATATATATATATATATATATATATATATATATATATATATATATATATATATATATATATATTATGTTTAATTTATAACTTGAATGGTAGTTTTAGTTTTAAGTAAACTCCAAGTTTAGAAGAATTTTGAGAAACCGGGCTTATATGTATTCGGCATTTGGAAATGACGATTGCTGACATTCTTCATATTATTTTACATTTAAAATGACAGTGATCTTCATTTCCAAGCCAACTCTGACGGCGTTTTTTGTTTTTTTTTTATGGTATAGTATATTAATAACACGTTAAAAATAGCAATAAAATTAGGTGTCTACTGCAAAGTGTCTTGGTTTTTTATTTATACTTAGGGCTTAAAATTGTTTTTTTTCTTTTAACATGTGATGTTAAAATGTGATGTTTTTTAGGTATGGTTATTTGCAAAAAAACAAAAAGTAAGCTGGTAAAATATTTTAATTTTTATTAAAAGATGTTATCAAAAAAGCAATTAAAAAAAATATTTTGAATATACTGTATGATCCAACAAATTGACGTTATGTTGCCTTAGATACGACTATGATATTCACCATATAATTACATATTTATATTGTTTACCATTATTTTTATTTTATATCTATTTTACATTATAAAATATATGTGTGTAAAATTATATGGTGTATATCATCGATAAAGCGTTGTTATCATCGATCGTCATACCTAGGGTATCTTGACGCAATTTTTTTCGTTTATATGGTATTTAGTATTTATACACATTAAAATGTGAAATATATAGTTAAAGGTTTTCTTCTAAGTTTTTGTTAAATGTAAATATAGGTCTAAAAATATTGTAAGTTATTTTTAGTAGTAACTTCTCACGCCAACAGTAATCGTACAACACTTTCCGACAACTGTGATAACGTGCCTTGTAGATGTTTGTCATTGCCCTTTGTCGCCAAGATATAAAATATAAGATTTTTACCTCTTCCTGTAACCTTTCTTCTGTTTATTATAAACGATATCGAGATTTGAGGTGAATAAAAAGAAATACTAATGGAGGAAATTAATTTTAACAGGTTTAGGCATTCTATCTCTTTATGATGTGAAATAGTTTATTAACATTCCAGCTCTGTGAATGCCTAAAAATCTTTATCTGTGCATCTATAGCTTTCCAATTTGCTTTTAATCATCTTTCATTAACGTTTTTGTGGTCTGAACTGTTTTTCTTCTTTTGAGTTTACGTCACTTTTATGTAAATGAACAAAGCAACAATCCTTCATTTTTATTCAATATCTTCGAAAAATTATCTGTTGCCGAGCTACAATATGCTGGTCTAAGTGTACTATTATTTGACTGCTTCAGTTGGTGAGACATCTCCCTATTTGACAGATACAGGACAATGATAATATCTGTTTTTCTCAAAAATTCGATTTCGAAAATACTTTGTTGGCGGGCAGATCTGTTGTTTTATGTTAAAATGTATTTAATTCATCTCTCAAATCAATCAACATGGCATCTTTCATCGTTAACCTTTAGGTCAGCATATGGCATATACGATAGAAAAATTCAGAAGTATGAAACATAAATCTATAGTCTTCTTGTCATCTATAGTCAATAGTCTATAGTCTATACTTTCTAAAAATAATAATAATTTAATATATCTATCAATTTTACAGCTAAAGTTTGTCCAACGAGATACGGGACTATTTCGACAGACGACATTCAAAAATTGACAGGAAATTTCATCTTCCTTTCAATTAAAATGACAGACAACTACTATCACTGTCAAATTTTATCTTGGTGGACAGACTATACCTATATTGCATCACCTATTGTAAATATTGTTTACTTATTTCAGAGCGGGGTAGAACTAGAATTAGTAGAATGTCAGCCGCTTTTGGAATGGCTAGCGAACAACTATAAAAACTTTGGTGCTACCTTAGAAATTATTACCGATAAATCTCAAGAGGGTTCGCAGTTCGTTCGAGGGTTTGGTGGAATTGGAGGTTAGTACAATTGATCTAATATTATTTTTCTATTTTCGCTTAATATTATTTATCTTTTATACTATTTTTACAAGACTCTCTTTAAATTATACGTTATTTTAAATTTTAACCTTGCTGACTCTGAAAACTTACAGTAATACTTTTTTATACAATTTAACATTTTTTGGAAGTAGATATAAGGCTTGCATTTAATTTATTTTTTAATATTTGCTTGTACCTAATACTAATGAAATAACTTAAATTGGGGAGTATTCAGCTAAAGGTACATTTTTTAGTAAACTTTAACTTGTAACATTTATTCTATCCTACTGTTCATTTTTATTTGTACTAAATTTTGTTTTTTTTTGCTTTATGGTGCTTGCAAATTTTGCCCTTTAGTTTGTCAATAAACTTATTTTAATCATATTTAAGGCACTATTATTGGATTATTTATTCAAACTTTTAAAAGCAGATTATATTGTTTTAAATTTATTTGTTCAAATATAAGGTTAATATAAAAAAGTCACATTCATTTTTTAAATTTAAATTATATTAAATTTATGTTGTTTTTAAACTGCCTGAATTTGCTTGGATAATAATAGTGTTATTTTACATGTGAACTTCCTCACTTATGGAAATATTATTTCCTATAATTTTAGGGAGTTAGAACACCCGTTGAAAATATTTAGGTAAATATGTGTTTACGGCGATCGAAATCGCGCCTTAGTCCATAAAACAATAAGAAGAATCTTTTAGCCAGTGCGCTGACAGAGAATTTTTAGTCGGCCGACTGGTTAGTAGCAAGTTTGTAACCAGTCTATTCTTATAGAGCCGCGCTCACATGCAATCAAATAGTGGACCGATCGGCCCCATAGAATAACACATTAGTAACAAACATGCAACTAAACAGTTGGCGAACTAAAAATTCTGTCAGCGCACAGGCTAAAAGATTCTTCTTAGTTGGATCAATGTTGCCGTAGTTCCTTAATCTCTTAATGTTAGGGACAAGCTTGACTATAGTCCGTCAAGCGAGAAAATGGACAGAAAAAAAAATCCATTGTCAAATTAAAATGATATACCATCTTGGACACTATCTATATGGTCTGTATTTTAAAGTGTGCGACAGAAATAAATATAAAACACCGGTTGACAGACAGAGAGACAAAATAAAGTAATACAATATTGCCGGTTTTTACGTGTGTGTAGGAAAAAAATAAACTATTAAAAAAACTTTAATGTATACTACTGAAATGCTGATAATATATCTAAGCCAAATATAATCTATTACAGCTGTAGCAAAATGAGTATCTAATTGTGAAAAATAAAGTTCCAACCCTAGATGCAACATTTTTCGTAAACGCCTACTTGTGCCGTTTGAAAGTTTGATGCAAAATCCGGCAATACCGCATAGAAGAAATATATCAACCCAACTTTTATCTCTTTTTAATACATTTGATTTTACATTATGCTGTCTACATCACTGTCTTACACGTTAAAATCCAGACCGCGATTTTACGATGACCCGATCAGTATATCAACATTCATCGGTATTATCTAATTTTGTAAAACGTACCTATATACTATATTTTACTTATACAGAGTGTGTTAAAAAGTTCGTTACATATGGGAAAATATTATTGAGTTACAGAAATAAAATTTGTTGAATCAATTTAGTATCCCAGTAACAAAACATATAATGTTTTGACTTTTGACATATGTATGTCAGGCGATAATTATCATTAAGAGATTTTCTAGCCTCTGTATTTTTTTCACATTGGTCTATAAGACGTAAGATCGAATTCTGAACAACTTTTTCTGATACAGTGATATACAGTATGTCCCCGGATTGTCTTTACAAGAGGAAGAACTTTTTTATTATTGACATTTTAAGAAAAATGCACTCTTCATAAAAAAACTGCTTCTAAAATGGAGTTTTAGACAAAATTAAAAAAACATGAAAATTAGTGATTTTTTTTAGTGAGTCCTAAAAATCCAAAGGCGATTCTATAGTAATATAATTTCGATTTCATTCTTTTATAGATGGTTATTATTCATATTGATTTTGATAAACGTCATATTTTTTCCTGTTGTTAAAAAATCACATTTTTTGATAACTATTATCACCCTTTCTATAACATTGAATTAAATAAATTTTGTACTTCTTTTTATTATTTTTTTTTTTCATTTTAGGATAGCAAAAAATTAATTTAAAATTAATTAAAATTCTATCAATAACAATCTATCAGAGGATGAACACGAAATTATATTACCATAGAAACGCGTTTTGAGTTATAGGACTGAAAAAATTCAACTATATTTTCATCATAGATAAAGGAAATAAATTTAGATTGGAATGCCCGTCAAAATTTTGGGTCGCCAAATTATTTTGGGTCCCGACCATTGTACGCGATCTGGCGCTGCTATAGCGGTTGCTAAGAACAACCGCAAACAAAAGGGTCTATTTTCCGAGTAATTATTGCTATCTTGTCAGTTTAATTTAAGTTTTATTGACTCAAACCAGTGATAAATATGAAAAAGTGGCATTATAAAACTTAAAAAGCTGTGCTGTGAACTGTGAACTGCAAAAATCATCGTGGATTGTGGGATAACGTCGGTTTCCAATGTTTTATAGGTATTTCATACATGTCCTTATACAAAATAAAGTTTCTTGTTGCAACACGCTGTATTTTATTTATAAAATTAAAAGTAAATAATAATAAATTTGAATGAACAATATTTGGCGATATAATTACGGAAAAAGCCGAACCTCTCCGAATTTTTTAAAAGCTTTGGGTCGCGACCGTTGCAAGAATAGCGCCAAATAGTGTTCACATTGTCCTTATGGGCACTTTCCAATCTATGCTTGTTTCATTTATCTATGATTTTCATGTTTTTAATTTTTTCTAAAACAGTATGGAAATTTGAAAAAGTATAAACGGGATTAACCATTTCAGAACAAGCAAAAATTTTTATGAAGAATGCATTTTCCTTAAATTGTCAATAAAAAAGGTTTTCCTCTCGTAAAGTCAATCCAGAGACATACTGTAGTAGTGATAAAATAGTTTTTTTTTAATTTTCCACCATGATATGTCACATGATATATGTAAAAATGAGTTTATTATGTTATTTGACATGCTAAGATGATTCCAGGTAAACTCTTGTGTATAACTCAGTAATATACAGGATGAGTTCCCTACGATGTTCTCTATGAGTATCTCGGAAACTACTGGAGATAAGAGTCGGTTAAATGGGGAAAGAATTGCAGTTTTGTGGGGGGGGGGGTTATAATGAAGTCATGTTGGAACCACTTTATTAATGCGCGAGTAATTAATAATTAATAGAGTGGTTAAATTTAACTTTTCTAACATGTCTTGAAAACCGTTCTCTAAAAAACGTAAGTAACATTCACTGGTCAACGTATCCTCGAAACTGTATAGCCAAGAAAAGTTAAACAATTCTACACGCTTTTTTTCATTTGAAAAATTCATATTTACAATCTTTGTTTATTTTAATTTACAAAGTTTGGATGTGACAGTTTCTCATTTCTGAGAGCAACGACGATTGAACTTGTTTCCATGGCTAACTAAGTCAAATTAGTCAAGAAAGATAAGAATTGGCTATAACTCTGTAATTTTTTGAAAAAAAAAACATATTATAGCTTATATCGCTGAAAAGCTTAAAAAATGGCGCTTTTTATGAAGTCATGGCCAACTATGATTTCCATTAAAAAAAACATATGTTTGTGTCAAATGTCAAAAATGACAAGCATTACGAAAAATCGGAGAACACAAACACATTAGGGATGTGATTATCTACAACATTTATCTGAAAACTTTTGATCTAAAATAGACTATAATGGAATTAAGGACAATTTAAAAAAAACAAAATTTGTTTTTTTTTTCGAAATATCTAGTAAGCCATGAACTTTTTCAAAAATCTGTAAGGTGCATATTTATGACCCCACAAAACTGCAATTCTTTCCCCATTTAATCGACTCTCTATCTCCAGTACTTTCCGAGATACCCATAGAGAACATCGTAGGAAACTCACCCTGTATATGTATTTTTTTTCCATTTGCTTTTTGGCAATTTAGCATTCACTGTATACAACAATAGAAGACACCTTGGCAACATCAGATCATAAATTCCGCGTGATTCTGATCAAACCCAAGAAACTAATTTGACATTTTCACCACATTTCTTCCTGAAATGTAGATTTACTAATATTCCGCTAATGCAGTTAATTAACCTCTGTATTTTTCTTGTTTTACGCTGCTTTTTTGGACACTTAGGCATTCTCCGGTACAAGGTTGACTTTCAGTCTTTACAGGCTGATGAGCCGCTCGACGATGTTGATTTGGACGATTATTAAAGCCAGTATTGTAGTAAAATGTCTGCTCTAATCTAATATTTTTTGTATGCGAGTTAGATACTATTAAATATTAGGTTAAAGGGACATTTAGGCTACTCCACAGCTAACATCTATTTGTTAAGGTACAGTGGTTGATGTTGTGGCACTTGACAATTTTTTCGCATGGCTTAAATAGAGATTTTTGTAGATTTATTTGTGAAGACTTTAGATTGCTGTTGAATATGTTGTTGAGTTATGTATGAATGATTAAATATCCATATTGAGATATACCTCTATAAATTGTGTAACTATCTCTACCACTGGCGACCTTCTGTCGTAGACAATATGAAATCTATTTAGTCATTTTTTCTATCGTCATTTAGTTTAAAATTACTCATTTTAATCACAATAAACGAAAACACCTGTTATTTTGAAGGTATGTTCTCCTAACCATGTTAGCATCAACCATAGGCTGTTCAATGACAAAATCTTTGACAGTGATAGATGTGTCTGTCATTTTAATTTCAAATTAGTTTATTTTATTTTACAAAGAAATAAGTTGGTTCAATTGGAAAGCAAAATTTTAGTGGCATATGACAGATGATTACTTCAAAATATTATGAAAAAAATGTATAAAACTTTAAAAATCTAATGGAGTTATTATATTTCAA